AATACAGGATAACCCAGTTAAATTTGAAGTTCAGATCAACAACAAATTTTTTTTTAGCATTAGTGTGTCCCATTTAAGCATACTGGGTTTCCTATACTTTATCTGGCTTTCCAATGAGAAGGTAAGGTGTTAAGGTGGGGAGGAAAGATAATTTCATTCCCCTTGGAAAGAGAATAGGAGAAGGGAAAAACAGTATCCGGAATTTATAAATAATTATCTCCAAACAGTTATGAAGCAGGTCTGAAGACCATGCTTGACAAATTTTTGTTTATAAAGCACCTGGCACTGGGTCAAGGTTTGTATTTACGCTATTTTCATTGAAACCTCTTATGCAGGATAATTATTTCACAAATGAAGAAAGAGGTTCAGAGATAGGAGGTCACTTGTTCAAGTTCCCACATTTTCATTCAGTCACTTCAAAAATATTTATTGAAAACTGACTCTGTGCTGGTCTGGTCTTTTGATTCTTTTGATTTCACACACAGTCTGCCTCCGGAGCTGGAAAATTCCAGTCTCTGCCCATTCCTCAGCTTCCCTCCTCTTCCCCATTCCAGCTGCAGTTTCCATGGTAACAGACCGAACCTGCATTCTATAGCTAACAAGAGCAAAGAGCACTTGAAGAAAAGCCAGAACCATTGACATCAACCTAACCTGGTTGGGGGATGGGAAGGACTGCCTACAGCCCTAACGCTCCCTTCATTAGTGGTTTATGCAAGACTTTTGTATGTGTTAAAATCTGTTCTTGAACGGGGTCTCTATAGAGGAATTAAAAAGTCAGCTATATTCATCTCTGAACACTCCACGAAGTCATAGGTTTTCAATTCAGGAGCTGCTACAAGCACCTGGCACTGGGATTATGCATCCTTGCCATTTATTAATGCATTTAGTCTATCTTTCAACCAATAATGATTGGAGGGGAAGTGGCTTTCTATGTGTCAGACAGTGCTAGATCCTGAAGATATAGTTGCTATCAAACATTCATGGCCTTGGGAGGAGGGGGAATGAAGAAGCTTTCTTCTACCCTTCTAGGTTCTTCCACTGATCTAAATCAACATGAGACAGATTAACAAGAGAAAATAATAAAATTTGATTACATACATACATATGGGAACCCCACATACATGAGAGAGTCAGAGAACCCAAACACATAAAAAATTTAGAAACAGAAAGGCAAAATGAGGTACATATGGCATCCTGAGCTAAGGAATAAGGTAAGGTACCCTGTGGCTTCAGAGGGAAGGAAGGAATTCACAGAATGATAAGAAATGCAGGTGTTCAGTAATTAGAAGTTTGCTCTACAGAGAGGCAGGGAGCTCTCTGGGGCCTCTTTCATTAGAGCTCTAATCCCATTCATGAGAGTTCCTACCCTCCTGACCTAATCACGTTCCAAAAGCTCCACCTCCTAATACCATCACCTCGGGGGAGTAGGATTTCAACATGAATTTTTTTTTTGGTGGAGGACACAAATATTCAACTTATAGCAGATACCTTCCCTGGGCAAGATTCTACAGAAGAGAAGATACAAAGACATGATCCCAGCCATTAAGGACTTCACACTCAAGAACCAGTGATAATACAGGTCCTCTGAGCTTCTACGACATCCTCCATTTATAAAGCTGAAGGAAAATGGGACAAGCCTCATCTGCATACTCATTTACATCAGAACTATGGGACCATATATAGTATGCTAGGCATGGTGCTAGATGCTAGAGATATTGCCCAAATCTCTGGACCTGTGAATGTTACCTTCTTTGGAAAAGGGGTCTTCAGTGATAGAATTCAGTTAAGAATCTTGGCATGAAGTCATCATGGATTACCTGACCAGACCCTAAATCCAGTGTCCTTATCAGAGTGAGGCAGACATACAGACTAGGAGGTAACATGGAGGTGAAGGCAGGAGCATTTAGTGGGAGATTTGAGGAGGGCAGGACTCACCCAACTTTGGTTTAGATCTTTGAGAATCGCTTGCCCACCAATGTTAGGATAGGAACGGGAAATACAAGGGCATGATGCTTCACTCTGGCTCAGATGGGAGGAGGAACCTACCTGCCAGTGAATCATGGAGAGGGCTCCTAATTGCCTGGGAGGGTTCGCACTTGCCCCACAATTATCCCTGTACCCCAGGGAGTAGAGCATTATTTAGCAAAGGAAAATTACCAGGACATATCATGAGAGAGACCACAGTGGAAGGAAGAAGTATTATATTTTAGTACCTTTGATGCACACTTTTCACTGTTTTTTTGAACAATTTTCATTTTGCACAAGGTCCTGTAAACAATGTAGCCAGCCCTACTTTCGGGAGTTCATCTCTTTCCTGCCAGAAGGTGAACACACTTAGCTCTATTTCCTTCACAAAATCCTCTGCCCAGTCATGGACTTAAACATGTTCCTAGTCTGGCAGAGGACTCATCATCCACATATATTTAGCTGTGATTCTTCTCAAGGGCCCAGGGCAGAAATTTGAGTGTTGCCCTTGTTAGTCTCCTCTCCACACCTGACATAACCCATCAATCATCAGCCTTGCCAAAATAGCTCTTTCTTCAGACCTGATCTCATTGTTTCCAATACAGTGAAAGCCACCACTAACATAGCTTGGATCCCGGCAATCACATCCTATCCCCCTTGAGTTTTACCCCCTCAAATCCATTCTCCGTGACCTTTTTTAAAATGAAAATCTGACTCTGTTATCCCTCTATCTAAAAGCCTCCAAAAGATTCCTGTGGTTCTTTAGCTGAAAACCCAACTCCTCACCAAAGCTTACACAGAGTGGAGATTCCAAGTTATGTTTGGAAGGTCCAGGGAGTGGCAATTGACTTTAAAAATAGGTGAACATAAGGCATACCTGAATGTGTCTGAAAGCTACATTTGCATCACCTTTTGAATCACTATATCATATTACTACTCCAAAAATCAGATAATGTTCATCAATGTGTTCTTAGGTGTGTGTGTGTGTGTGTGTGTGTGTGCGCGCGCGCGTGTGTGTGTGTGTGTGTGCGCGCCTTGATATAGATGCAGTGAGATGAGAAATAATAACTGAAAATATTCTCATGCTGTATAGTTACACTCAGGATATATATTGGAATTTAGTTCAATGGGCAATAATGACACCCTTTCTCTATGCTGGTCACTGTGAAAGGGATTTAGGACATTGAACTGTTTTATTAGAATGTGAGGGAGGAAGATTATCAGGCCTCCCAATATGGGAGAAAAACTGGTGAAAACCAGGATCCAGGGATTGATCTGCAAGACAGACTTTATTACCAGGGACAACTTTTTTCTGGTTTGGAAATGCATGTCTCCAGAACATAATTTCAGACTTCATCTTTATCTTATACTCACATCACAGCTTTCCACACTTCAGCCATAACGACTTTTCATTCTTTGTGGAGCCCACATTCTCTATAAAGATGTATCTATACTCATTGCTCCTATGCCTTGTTCCTCACCTTCCATTTCGTATTAACCATGTTTCTAGCTCCTGTAAACTTGATGCTTTAACATGTGCCTAACATATATATGCTGGATACACCTTTTCTGGACAAACCAACAATATGCCTGAGTCACTGTGCTTTGTTTCCTGCCTCCCTCATTTTGCCTTCCCCCTCAGGAGTAGTCCTCTTCCTGGGGACATGCTCTTCAAACAAATAAATCGATCCAGATTCCACACACCCCTAACCACTTATCAGCCTCTCACACTCTGGGCCACCATTGCTCTGCTCTAATCACCCCAGAGTCAAGTACCAGAGGACTAGAGAAATTCCCTATACCCCAGAATCCACTGAAATTATTTAACCTAGCCAATCCTAAGCCAGGTTACTCTGCCTCACCTGCTCCTTCTCACAGAAGCCACAAGAAAGGCTTCTGTCCACAGTTACCCCTTGCTCCCTCTACCTCCAGACCAACCCTGGGGCTTCTCTGTGTGGCCCCCATGGCATGGTGTACCCTTTCCTCTTAGGAAATGTGAGTAACAAACTTTCTTTTTAATGAAAATCTTATCTGTTGGCCTTGCTATACCTCAAATTTTCTGTTAATACACTATATTTTAGGACATATACTCTCACCAGTTTTTTCTAAACAGGCTTCCTTCCACCCATGCCTCTGAAGCTACTCTGCTCAAAATCCATGATGTTGTCAGATATAATAGTCACTTCTCTGTCATCGGGTTACATGACTTCACCATGGCCATCAACACAGTTGGCTTCTTCCTCCTTCTTAAAAACATTTTCTTCTAGTGCCTTCTTTGGCCCTCTATTCTCCTGGTTTTCTGTCCCCACTTTCTTGTCCAGCTATTCCTCTTCTACTTTTAGATACCAAAGTTGAAGATGTGCATATCCTCTGACTTGGCCATCCCCATTCAAAGAGCCTAGACAAGTACTCCCAGGGAATAATAATAACACTGAGCAAGGAATAGTAATAATTTCCAACATTCAGGAAGTGAGTATATCAGTCATGTTTGAGCTGCTGATATGCATTTAGATGAGATCACGTTCCTATTTTCATGGAGATGAAAGTCTTGTGCGGCCTCGATTGTCAAGCAAGTTGAGAATAAGGCAGTCCCCATAAACTTAGAAAAAGATGACGTAGTCTGCAGTCAGGGAAACAAGCAGCTATCAGAATCCGTTTTAAACCCATTCAACTGATCAATGACAGCTCACCCCAGTGAACACACTTTTTGAAGCCAAATAATCAGTGCCAGTGCTTTCTTTGGAAAGTCATCAATGAAAGGGCCCATCAAGGATAGATTCACTCTGATACACACGCCTCAGAACACCAACCAATCGACAAGGGTCTCACTCGGGAAACCACAGTTCTACAGATGATGTCAACCTGTTTATGTCTCTGAAGGCCCTCCAACCTCTGAACTCCAAATCTCATAAAATCAGTCCATCTGCATGGAGAGACTTCCTGACTAGCATAGCTCTCCCTTATTATGGTAAAAAATAAACTCAGCACTGTCTTTCATTGCAGATATTGAGTCGTATTAGTCTGCTAGGGCTGCCATGACGAAGTACCACCGACTGGGCAGCTTAAACGACAGAAACGTCTTGTCGCACAATTCTGGGTACTACAAGTCTCAGATGAAGGTGCTAGCAGGATTGGTTTCTCCTGAAGCCTCCCTCCTTGGCTTCTAGGCAGCTGTCTTCTCCCTGTGTGCCCACATGGTCGTCCCTGTGTACCTGTGTAGGTCCAAATTTCCTCTTCTTATAAGGTGTCAGTCATTGGATTATGAAATAATCCCACCCTAATGACCTCATGTTACCTCAAATATCTCTTTAAAGACTCCATCACCAAATACAGTCACATTCTGACGTTCTAGGGGTTAGGACTGTGACACATGAATTTGGAGGAGGATGCAATTAGGCCCATACCAGCATAGTAGGCTCATTGTGTTTTGACAAAGTGAATTCACAGCTACATAGATGGTTGCAAGTCATTTCTAAAGATCTCCAAGCTTTCCTGTGAACATCCTTCTTTCCTCCAGTGGGAGATACCAAGTCCTTATTATCTCCAGTGTTTGACACATGCCATGAGTTCTCTTATAAGCCAAACCTGTTTCACATAAATTCTCTATATTCTGGATTGCTCAGTCGTTGCTTGCCCTTCAAGGTCAATATCAACTTAAGACTTACGTTCCTTGAGCAGAAGTGGAGTGGAGAAAGTGAACATTTGGATGCATCATTCTCTAGACTTTGCCTCAGGATTTTAATTAGCTCTAGAGAGTTGGGGTCATTTCTCCCTCTGTATCTGTCCTCTCAGTTGAAAAATAAGAACCAGTGCTCTCTTCGGCAACCCATATACTAAAATTGGAAAAGTAAGAACCAGCACTCTGTACTTCTCATAATATCAGGATCTGGGGTGAAGTGAGTCTCCCAGTGCTTAAGGAGATACCAAAGAACTCAGTAATCAAGATAAATAATATTGTAATACAATGTCTTTAGAAATCACAATGAATGCAAAACAATCCATGATGAATGATACATGCCAGGAGGTCCCCAGGTAATTCAAGCCCAGGTAGGGTGGCAGCAGGAACCCTGGCCCTTCTGTTACTCAGGGAATGGAGTGGTAGCCCTGGCTCCCAGAAGAGATTTGTTCTTGCCCATTTCCAGTCTTCTCTCCAAATCTGCATTTCCAGTTTTCTCCCCAAATCTGCCTCCTGTGGGCCTCAGTCTTTCCTGAGGAGGAGAGCTTAGGAGGAGAGGAATAGAAATGGCCTGAGTCTCCTCCAGAACTCTCCTTGCCAAGCTGGTCTTTTTTCTCTGTAAGAAACTGATTTCTTGTTCTCAGGGTGAAACTTTGGCTGCTCATTAACTTTCAAAATCTCTGGGAATCAAAGTTCTACCTACACTTCTCTTGAGGAAGAAAAACACCTATGACTGTTGTGAGGCAGAAGCGTGGATGTCAATGCAACCTTGTGTTATCTGCAGTCTCTATATACTACAAGCCACAGTCCTGTTTATTATGCCTCCAAAACACCCCCTTCAGACCAGTTCTCTTTACCTCCTTTGTTGGCCCTCTGGTCTATCCCCTCTCATCTTTCTCCTGGATTATTCCACTGGTCTCCTGATGGTATCCTGCTCCCATTCCTGCCCACCCACAATCAATTTCTCACACAAATAAGATTTTACCACTCACTTATTTCCAACCATCACCTCCCCATTGTTATTAGAAAAAAACCTAAGCCCTTTTATTAAAAGCCATTAGGCTCATAGGCAGTGAGAGCTCTAGAATTTCCACCACGGGGAAGCAATTCAACTTTCCCGGAAGTCATGTTTGTACAGTTTTTCTAAGTATGAGACAATATAACTCATTGCAAAACAGGCAATAGCTTTGAAAATTGCTGTGTGTGTTTGTTTAGGTATCTACAGAGCTGGATTTCTCAACCCCAGTACTAATGACATTTGGGGCTGGATCACTCTTTGCTGTAGGGGGCTGTTCTATGGTCATAGAATGATGAGCAGCATCCTTGACCTCCAATTCTAGATGCCAGTAGCACTATCCACCCCCAGCTGTCTCGAAACATTGTCAGATGTCCCCTGGAGGCCCAAATTGCTCCCTGTTGAGAACCACTGCCATAAAGTGAGGTGACAAAGTAATAAAAGTGAAATTCTTTTTATTGTTTTACAGTTAAATTTGTTTTTTATTCAGCTTGAGAATCATCCTTTATAGACATACTTTGTTCGGTGATATGAAATATACTCACTGTGTTAGAAAATGCAAGTGTAAGATGGTCAGTACTCTGAATATTAGGGGAAAACTTATTAAAACTAGGAACTGGGAATATATTTGCAAAACAGGCAGCTAGTCCTCACACCTTTTTACATTTTGTAAATAGGCATTCTCTTGAACACTGGGCACAATGTGCCCTTTCAAGAAAACAGGTCCCTTCCTTAATTATTAAACACTGATGTATACACAGCTTGGGCTCTAGGCGGCATTCAGCTCATGAATCGGGGGGAAATTCCATGGAAGGCTGTTGACCTGAAATTTTCATCTGGACACTGGGCCTTGTGTTCATGTTCTAGTGAAATGTCCAGACATAAAAATGCTCTCCCAATTGCCATCTTTTTTCTATCCCTGCCATCAAGATCACTCTCAAATCTCTCCACTTCTCTCCATCCCCATTGGTCCACTCTAGAGCCAGCTGCCATCTTCTCCCCTACAATGGCTACAGTAAATTCCAACTGATGCATCCTCCCTTATCTCCTCCCAGCCATTCATCAGCCACCAGATGAATGTGAAAGCACAGATGTGTGTCTTCCAGCTTAAAACTCTTCCACAGCAAACTACTGCCTCAACCAGCTCACACAATGCCTACTATCAAATCAAAACAAAACAGCAACAATAACAATAACAATAACAAGCGTGACAAAGATTTGGAGATATTGGAATCCCTGTGCAGTCCATCTCAAAAAGATTCCGTTTATATGAAGTACTTATAGTTGAACCCAATAGCGAATCATAACAGAATAGGTGTACTACAATTTGGCTTTTAGTTAAAATTATTAAATTAAAAAATACATAAAGAATAAAAAAAATAAAATTATTAAATTAGCTCTCTTAAGAGTTATAGTTGTACTGGAATGTGGTCACATCCTGGGGCCTGGAGGCCTCCCTGTAAAGCACATTTCAGGGAAGATCATAAAAGTACACTCTGCTTAAGATAACAGAAGAATGTTGCCTGTTAAGCACAAAATGTATAGCTCTGTTTTGTTTTGTTTTGTTTTTTTCCCCCTGCTTTTAAGATAACATAACTGACTCACAATCCCAAGATGTCTTGCAGAACTCTAAGCAGGAAGACCACCTGGCCACAGTCTCAAAGACCCTGGACAGGGTGCCGCCAAGAACTAAATAAATCAGATTAAGAAAATTGCTGAAGCTTGCACAACATGACCAGTCAACATAACCCATGACCCTGAACCCCTACTCATGATTACTCATGAGTTTTTGCCTTTATAACCCCTCTAATAGTAAGCCATCAGGGAGTTCGGGTTTGAAGCGACAGCTTCTCATTCTCCTTGCATGGCTACACTAATTACTCCCCTGTAATTCTCAGTGTTCAATGTTTGGCTCTGCTGTGCGCTGGGCAGATGAACTCTCTTCTTGTTTGGTTACAAATAGATAAAAAAGAATGGTGGGTGGTGGGTGCCAGGAGGGGCTGGTGGAGGAGAAAATGGGGAGTTATTGTTAAATGAGTACAGAGTATCAGTTTTACAAGACAAAAGGAGTTCTGGGGATGGTGGTGGTGATGGCTGCACAACAACACTAATTTATTTAATATCATTGAACTGCACTCTTAAAAATTAAGATAGTAAATTTTGTGTTATGTGAATTTTACCACAATAATAACAATGAAAAAACGCAAAGAAAAGATGTAGATTGAGGCTCTAGTCATCTGAAGGCTTGACCAGGGGAGTGATCCACTTCTAGCATGGCTCAGTCAAGTGCCTGGCAAGCGGATGCTGGCTGTTGTCAGGAGCCCTCAGTTCCTCCCCACATGGCATTCCACAGGGCTACTTGAGTATCCTTACAATATGGCAGCCAGATTCCTCCAGAGAGTCTGATCCAAGAAAGAACGAGGCAGAAACTCTTAATGTCTTTTATGACCTAGCTAGAGCAGTCACACAGTGTCATTTCTGTAACATCGTATGGGTCACACAGGTCATCCCTGCTTGCTGTGGGAGAGCAGTTCACAAGAAAATGAGGATAGCTGAGCGCCATCTTGGAGGTTGACAACTACAGTCAGTAATGGTGAAGGACGGGGATGTGGAAATAGATTCTCAGAAATGAATTCTTCTCGAAAGCTGTCAAATGAAAGCCCAGCCCATAACTTGATTTCAGCCTTGTGAGACCCTAAGCAAAGGACCCAGTCGACTCTAACTGGACTTCTGACCTATCAAATTGTGAGATGGTAAATGGTGTTATTTTAAGCCTCTAAGTTTTTGGTAGTTTGTTACACAGAAATAGAACACTAATACAGAGTTGTTGTCAAAATGGACCATGGAATCTCAATTAGACAAGGAGAAACATAAAGTCAGGTAGTAGACTAAATGTGCCAATATGGTCAAAGAATTTTATGTGTGAATTGTGTGTATTGGAGGGATGGAAGACCTGAAGGGACAGGGGCTAGTGATGACAACAAGGACTATTTGATTTCAAACATAATTCAGTTTCTGATGATGACAAAATCTGAATGGATAGATTGATGGATGTATAGATTGATAAATGTATGTATGTATGTATGTATGGATGGATGGATGGATGGATGGATGGATGGATGGATAGAGAAAAACAACGTTCTTTCTTTAGAATAAGACGTTCTAAACTGATCAGTTGTTTGGAAATTTAAAAGGCAAGAAAGTTCATCTCTCATTTCTAGTCTCTGAATAAATAAGAAAAAGAAAGCAAAAATTGAGTTAGCTACATGAATGAACAGTCTTTCAATTACTTAGGTTAAATCAATTGAAGAAATCAATTTTGTTTTTCTTTAGAAAACATTTCATATTTTCAACCATAAGCACTTTTAAAATATGTGGTTTTTTAAAGTTCCTTAAATGTGGTCGTGGTTCAAGAAAGTATCGGAAGT